AACTCTTGCTATAATTGACTTCATTGGAACATTGCATAATAAAGAAAATGTTTTCCTGTCAGCTGTTTATAAGAAATTGTAAAAGTCTGTTCTAGTTATGCATTTTTGTTAAAACAAAGAAGGGATRTAGTGTATTGACATTTGTAGATTTCGGGGTATCTGCACTTATGCAGGTCAGCGGTCAAGGAATAAAAGATGGCGGACAAAAGCACAAGTGTGCGTGTGTAGTTCTGAGTTTAATCTGTGACAATCGAGCTGTTTAGATACGACAATTACTTTTATAATTTAATTTGTTTTATGTCTTATTTTATACATTTTAAGACTTGAATGATTCATTTTAATTCTATTTAGTTATTTTTAGTGTCTTATAGTTTTATTTCAAATAACTAATTAATTTTACACATTATAGATACATCTTTACATATAGACAAGTTAGAGTGCAAACAATATATMCGTGCAACACTAAATTAAAATAGTGAAATTTAGTAAAATTTATTGAAAAATAGTCGAAGCGTAAATATACTAAATTTAGTGTGCACGTGCAATTTAGTTGAGAAGTGCACGTGCGTTTATGCACACGTCGTCCTCGGAGCTCAACTAGCCAGCTACACTATAACCGTTACAAATGCTGCTGGAAATAGAGTCAAAGTCTCATGCTAAATAGGTACGTATATCACAAACTTTTCCGTAGAAGCGATAAACTCGTCTTGCGGTTTATTTTGAGCATAATTAAGCAAAGATATTAAAAGGGCGCTGTTGGTTCTTGGTTCTTGTCAAGTACGTCTAATAACGCTGAGCTTTGAGCGAAAGAATTCGTTCAAAAACACGTTGTTTACAGATTTTTTTCGAGTCTTTACATTTATTAAAAGTGCGTCTTGTCTTGATTTTTAGCTTAGACTTTTACAATAAACTCGTTAGAAAACACTTCATTTGCGTACTGGGTCTTGATATTGGTTATTTTTTCTTTAACTCGACAATGTCTTGTGCTCCTGAGTTTGCGAAGAGTTTTTTATTCCCCTTCGCCCTGCTATATTTTTGCACGTTTTGTGGTGAATAGTTTGGTGCTTTTAAGCATTTGTATTCGTGCTGTGCCTCGTAAACACCGGGTTTACGAAGAGCTTTATTCCTTTTGCCCCACCGTAATTTTGCACGTTTTATTATGAATATTTTTGTGCATTTAAGCATTTTGTATACCTGCTGTGCCTCGTAAACACCGGATCTACGAAGAGCTTTATTCCTTTTGCCCCACCGTAATTTTGCACTATTTATTATGAATATTTTTTGTGCATGTAAGCATTTTGTAT